AGTGTAAGCTCCAATCTCCCCAGAGAGCGGATTTTGAGTCTCGACAACCTCAATGATGACATTGGTGGTATCAGGCAGCTCTGGTGGCCCAGACTTGAGCGTGATCGTTGCAGAATCAAAAACCTCAAGCGCTTGCAATCTCCTTTTCATCGCGGTAGAGGCTCGAACCAGCTCCTGCATCGTCCTTGCACTCTTCAACGCCTCCGTTTCGACTTCTATGATGTAGTCTTTGGTCTTTTTGTTCCCTCTGACGATAACGTCGTGGACCCGGAGCTGAACGGGGCCGGTCTGCATCCGCCGGAACAAAGACTCCAATTTGAACTTATGCTCACGGGCTCGTTCCTCCGGGGTTCGGCGTTCAGGCAAGTCCGGCTCGGTAAAAGCGTCATCGTCGTCGGTTTCTTCTTCGTCCTCGAGGTCGTCAGAGTCGTTCTCTTCTTCTTCTTCTTCTTCTTCATCATCATTGGCACTGAATGGTTGTTGTTGATCGGATTTGGGTTCCGGATTCGACATGAGGAGGAGGAGGAGGAGGAGGAGAGAGCGGCGGAGCCGGGAAGGGGAAGCGAGAGTGGGGGTCCAATCGGGAACGCAATGCTTGCTGCTACTATCCTACAATTTTCGTCGATTTTTTGGTCCTACTGGTTATCTACTTATTTTCCTTTCCCCTTCTTTTAAAGAGTAAAGGCGCAAATAACAACGTCAACTTTACTCTTTTTCTTAATTTTTTTTAACTATTATTATTATTTTAATATATTAATCTTATCAATTTTTAAATAAATATATTAATTTTTTATTTTTTTATTTTTATTTTTATTTTTATTTTTTTTGAATAATTTTGTAAAGGACTGAATTCAAATTATTAGCCGAAAGAAAGAATACACTTAAACGTGACTTGATGTCATTGGAGTCAAAAGCTCAACTGCTTTTTATTTAAAATTATCAATTTTTATTTTTTACATAAAAAGGTTAATTCTTGATATTTCGATTAAAAAATATATTTACCATGTTACTATTATTATTCAATTAATTTTTAAATAAAAAATAAAAAATTAATGTTTTTAAATAAAAAATAAAAGGTTGATATTTTTAAATAAAAAATTAAAAATTAATATATTTATTTTAAAATAAATAAAATTAATAACTTTAAATAAAAAAATATAAAATTCACATTTCTTATTTCCACATCTCCTTCTTCTTTTAAACTTAAAATTAAAATTTCATAATTCATATAAAAAAAAATAACCCAACCATAAAAAAGTAATAGATAATAATAAACTCCTTTAACTAGAATTAAAAAAAATTTAAATTCAAATAATATAAGATGTGAGTTAATGAATAAAAGAGTATTTTCTCTCTTTACACAACTTAAAATGAAAAATAATAATAACAATAAAATAAAATTTCATAAAATTCAAAATTAAATCTTCATGTGTAGAAGAAAGTCCCTAACGAAATAAAAACACAAATTTGGTAAAATTTCATATTTAAAACGATCTATTATACATAAAATATTGGCGTAATAGAAGTTTTCATCAAATTCAACGTGACCACATGATTGGTTTGCCAAAATTTTTCTAAAACTCTTATGAGATCTACTATATCCAAAAATAGTCTCATAGCATTCGAGGCCCGTGGCAAGCATCCATGAGTCTAATTGTTATAAGTTTCTTTTTCAGAATTACCTTAATGACTGTGTTGTTAATGAACACTTAACGATTTTTGATTAAAAGATACTAACTAAGAGATAATTAAAATATCAACTATAATCAAGTTAACTTTTATCAAATGATTTGTTTAACATGTGTCTTTAGGATATATGTTAAGATTTATTAATTATAAAATTTGTAATTAATTTTATACAAATTTTTATATCAAATTCATTTTTTTTTATAGATTTTAAATATAAATATTATTTTATTTTTATATTTTATATTTTATTTTAATTAAATTTAATATAAAAAATTTGTGTAAAATTAATTAGAGATCCTACATTAAAAAATTCCTTTATCAAATAATCTCTACTTATTCTCTCTTATACACACACGCTTCATGCGTCTCTCGGACTCATCTTCTTCTTTTAACTCTCCACTCCTACACATAGATTTTTCTTCCGTGGATCCATATCTTGCATTGGGTATTGAAGTGCCAAGTCAGAAACCAGTTACAATCTTTGACTAGGCATATATTGAAAACCTATCCGTCGTCCACGGATTCCTCATCGAAAACTTGGTTGCCACTTTTTTGACAAGAAGATTATTCGACACTAATTTGTCATTATGATAGGAGTTGATTTTTTTTTTTTCCAAATTGAAAGACTGAGGATGCTCCTTCACTTAAGATGTGTTTAGGGATGGCAATTTTCTCCGCAATTCACGGAACTCCGTGGAGATCCCTATCATGAGGATGAAGATTTTAAGAATATTCTTACCCAAGGGGCGGGGATGGAGATAATTTTTTATCCGTGAAATTTCGCGGGGAATTTTCTCTATCCCGTGAAGATCCGTATAAAAAAAATTTATTTATATATATATTTTGTACATATGTTAACAATTAAATTTTATTTACTCAATTTAATTTTTTTATTGGAATTACCCAATTTAATTAGTTAACCCAATACCAACGTAACTTAAATTTCATAATCCACTCTTTTTTCAATTTTTTCAAACCCAATTGTCGGCCCAACCCAATTTTTTTTTGTTAATCTAATATTCTTAAACCTAATTACCCAGCCCAATTTATAGCCCAATTTACAGTCCAATTTACAGTCCAATTTAGAGCCCAATTACAGAACCCTACAAGCAGAAGGAAATCCAATATACATAATCGGCTAACCCTAATGCATAAGGAAATCCAATTGCCACTTCTTGCAAATTGCTATCCCACCCTACTCCAGTCAATCTCTTCTACTCTGCCGCGCTGCTCACCACTGCTCACACCGCTCAGCTCCAACTTTTGTTTGTTTATTTGTCTGTATGTCATCTTTTATCTTTCATTTTCACTTCTCTTTTTTTTCTTTAATTTCTGTACTTCAATTTGAGCATCAGCATGCATCAGTTAGCTACGACATATGTCCCATTACATTGCACAGATGGGTACCATATGCCTATGTGCATCTGATATTAAAATTTTTCATTTGGTGGTTTTGCAACATTCGATCTTTTCAAGCAGCAACAGCTCCTAGCTTGTAAACCTGTCTTGACACCAGCATGGGTGAGTGCTTGTGATCTTTTGATTTGGTAAACCTATTTTGATTTGGTGGTTTTGCAACTTTCGATCTTTTTATTTTTTTATGCTTTAGTGTTTAACTAGTAATTTTCATGTTTTTAATTAGTAATTTTTAATTTAATTTTTGTGCTTTAGTGCTTAATAAGTGGTTATAATCAAGTACACTGTCATTGGTGGTCGAAGTCTAGCAGGGTTTCTGATAAGTCTTTTATGTAAAACTAAAAGGAATGGTCTGTTTCGATTGTGGTGCGCTTGACTTGTCTTTGTTGTGATGCGCTTGACTTGTCTTTGTTGTGATGCGCTTGACTTGTCTTTGTTAGGGATGTGTCTAATGATGTACTATCAATATTCCAATGTGGACTAATAACTCTTCCACTAGTACTAATGATGTACTATCAATATTCCAATCCGATACAGGCACTGATGTGTCTTCAAGATTGGTTGAAGAAAGATCTGAAAGGTATTAAATTAAG